GGATACATAGATATTTTTGCACATCAAAAGCAAAAGGAGATGAACACATGTAAATGCCTCATTTACTTAAAAACTCCACAGGAAGAAAGCTTATATTTGCAAACCTCAGAGGCCTTTCATAATTTTTGTATATTGAACATTTGCAAATTCATGTTGCTATGAAATTTAGTCAGAAAAGAAAAAAGGCTAGTAGGACAATTGGTTTTACTATGTGTCAGCATATCTCCAGTTTCTGCTTTAGGTATTTCTTCAGCTCTTCAAGAAGCATCTTTAATAATAATGTAAATGAAAGATATATATTTAATTGTATTGGAGAGAATCATGTGCCATTTGGGTTGTAGCCTCTTTGTATGACTAGTAGAAACAAACATCTCTGATAATTGTTTTTATTAATTACTAAGGTAATTACCTTTACAAAGAGTTTGGATTTCTAGAGGGTTTAGACAAGTGATCCATCCTAATGGGATATTTCAGTTTAGCCCAATATCTGTATCTTGTATACTGTCTCAGAACTAAAATGTAGTTGGTCTAATAAAAGATATCACATTTACCCAAAGAACCTTGTTTCCCAGAAGTGAGATTTTTCAAAGAGTAGCACATATTTGGGAAGAGCGGTGGCCTAACCAATAAAGGGAAAGTGGCTGTATGGAATATTTCACCTTATAATAGTTATCTTTCATTGTTGCAAAATAATATTTGGCTTATGGGTTTGGTTGGGAAAAGGGCTGAGAGAGTGCCACAATTAGCAGAATAACTGTCTGGTTTGGTCCTCTCTCCCCCTGAAAAAGGAAGCTAATTCCCAAGGGAAAAGAAACAGTAGAGAGAGTGAATACAGCCTGAAGTGGTTTTAATTGCCACAGTAGATTCGTTGGTTTTTCCTTAGTGAAGTCACGGAGCATGGTTGGGGTTAGTTGCGAGTGAAACCTTGTTTCTTTGATTCTTGTCTGGCTGGAGCAGGTGCTGTCTATTTATGCATAATGCCCCTATCATTCTGGTCTCTGAACCCCTCACAATTATTAATACGGTTTTTCCTCCTTTGACCCTTTTAGTAAGGTAATAGTGAGGTGTAGACTTTCCAAGGGAAATCTGTGACTGAGTAGGGAACAAGAACCAGGTTTCTTGCAAGAACCAGAACTCTGTGCATGACACCAGTGGTTCCCAGACAGCAATACATAAATCACATGATAAATGGTCTGTGGCTCTCAAGGCCTCTTCCTCCCTCCCCCATTTCAGTTAAAGGTTTGATGATCAGAGCAGATGAGGTTCTACAAGAAATCGTAAGGGCTGACAGTGGGCATGCTGCTGAAATAGTTCAGGAACTACCGTACTAATCTACCCCCTTAAAGAGATCTGCAAGAGATTGTGAACTATTCTGCTGTTCATCTGGTAGGGGACCGTTGTTCTGAGTATTTTTTTTAAGTTTCTGACTCAGTGGGCATTCCTGATGCCAGCCACCACTGACTGTGGGCAAAGTAAGTGCCATCTCCACAGCTCAGCTGGAACAGTAGTTCTAGGCTTTTTTCCCCACCCTCCTTGTGATTCCTGGCTTGAGGAATGTGTGGAGCAGAAAGCAAGGCTCTGAGCACGTGAGGAAAGAGATTTGATTAGAATGGGAATTAAATGCTGGAATAAATACTTGAAGCCAGCATCACATCTATAGTTGCAAAGAAATGTAGATATTGATTTCCAGGGTGATGTCTTTTTCCTTTCCCCTTTCTCTTGATTCTTTCTTTTCTCCTTTGTTCCTTCTCTCTCTGGGAAAACGAAGAAAGAACAAGAAGTCAAGAATACACTTACAGAGAGCAAGTTTGGTGCTCTTACAGAGGTATGGCATGCAAGAGAAAAATCTGAATACCAGGCCAAAACTTGAATGGAATGCATGAATCCAAACAGCTCTGCAAATTCATCCAAATTTTGGCTTGAAGATGAGGCAGCTTCACTTTATACCATTTCCACCTTTTTTCAAGTAGCTAGTTTATATAGTTCCCTTACCTGATGACCCTAGGGAAGGCTTTAACTTGAGGTTGCTGTGCTTGAAAAATGGCTTTTGAGTGCAATCATGTTAAGATGACCCATTGTATACCTTCTCCTAATAGGATACATTATTTTAAATTGTAGCAGGGTGCTTGGTAAAATGCCAGGACAGCAATTGGTAATCAATTACATTCCATTGTCTTTAAGATTTTTTTTTTTGTTCTGTTGCAACTGGTAAGCACAAGATATACTGTAAGTACTTAATTCTGTTTTATCCCGCTCATGATGCAGAGAAGGAGGTATTAGCCTGGGACATGAATTTGCTATGTAGGGCATTGAGCAGGATTAAGAAAAGTTACAAAAATATTACAATTTACAGCTATGCCATTGTTTAAAATGCTAATATTATTAATATGTTTTTCCACTATTCAGAAATAAGAGTAATTAGCAACAAGCAGCAACTGAAATTTGTTTTCACTCAGATTTCCTAACTGATGTCTAAAGAACACCTGTAAAGATGAGTTTTGTCATCTGTAGGTGCTTTAAATGGACTTTTAAGAATAATGGATGTATTTACTCGTTACAGCCACTTAAGTTGAAGTATTTTGGCTGGTTTTCAGTGCAAGAGTAAAACAAACAAACAAAAATAAGTAACCAACTAAATGAGCAAAAACAGATCTTCTTGCAACCAAGTTAATCACATACTGAGTGGATGTTGTTTGGTTTTTCATAATTCTGTCAATGCCCTCTCTCTAAGTTAAATGAAGGTAATTTTCACTGAAGGTCATTTGAATAACAGAAAATTGAAGACATAATAAGCCAACTCTTGTGGAGCACCTACAAATCTAACTGACCTAGTGGATCAGGCCTAGTAATTTCTCATGAAATTTTCACTGACCTACTGTTAGAGATATGAATAAATAAATCCACTGCAGCAGAGACAGGACACCAAAGCAGTTCTATCCTCAAATACCTCCTTAAAGCTAAGCTCATAACTTTTGAACGTATATAGTGATAAATTTGCTGGTATGCTTAACTCATAGTCTACACATGCATTAAGGTACCGTTGTTACTGCACATTAAATTTAGCACATCTAATTTGACTCTACCTAAATGCGCAGTGTCCAGCACTACTGCCCAGTAGCACCAGTGCATGGTCTTTTTGTGATACTTAATGCATAGTATACTAATTCTACTGCAAATTGGTGCATTAGCACAGCTTTTTCTGTGCTGCCTCAATGCGTAGTAGAATTAGTCTTCTGTGCATCTCATGCAGACGTGCCTTGCAAGTCTGCTATTACCTATTTACATATGTTTTCTAAACAAATGAAAATCAGATTTCAGCTTTTAAAAGTTTTAAGACTCCCATGGGAATTACGTTTACTTAAAAAATAATCAGAGGCTGAAAAGCAAATCATTATGCTGTGATTTAGCAACTCATTGACTCACTATATGTGTTCTGTGCTGATGGCATACAAAGCCTAACATCCCGTTCTCCAAGCTAAATGGCTAAAAGGCATTGATATTTTATGCATTTTAAAATGTTTACATTTCATGCTTTTTGTATGTCTGAGTCTTTCCGTATGGTGTGATTCTGAATGAGCAATGATCACATGCTTCCTATGTGGCACAGCTGTTGAGGAGAAGAAAGATAATTACACCATTTGCCTAATGCACTAGAACTGAATTCTGCAGAAATAGTCATTCACTTACCATTTGGGGTCCTGAAAATCTGACCTTTTGTGTGTTGAAATTTCATATTCCCCACTAAGGTCAGTCTCGTTCATAAGACTCCAAGGCATGGCACCACTACATAGAAACTTCAGCCTGTGTCTCAAGTATTGTGAGGGCAAAATGAATGAAGGTGAAGGGATGGATGGCAGTGTGTTTTGGGTGTTAAAAGGGATTGTTCTCTGGATGCTATGTAATTTCTATGATTCTAAATAAAAATTTAAAACAATGGAGACATTTTTGTCATGGCAAGTTGTTTTCCTTATTTTTTTGTTTTGTTCTTACTTTTAGCCTTCAAACCAGTTCTACTGAACCATCAAATATCTCTATGATGTCACAAGGCAGGTGTGGTGTACTCATAGGAAGGGCAGGACTGCCTGCTATAAGAGTACAGGTTTTAATAGCATAAGCCTTGGAAACTTTGCATCCTTTCTGCAGATCATGTGTTCAGAGATTGTGAGAACAGTTAAGCAGACATACCCCTTTTTTTCATTAGTGATATTGTGGGTTTGGGTGTGCCAAGGTGTGTTGTCATTTTTCTACAGTATTTTTTCCACCCTTATTTTGTCAGTTGTGCTCTTTATGTGAGACAAATAAAAGATTTCCTTCGACTACGTCTTTATTAAGTAATTTTTGAAAAAAAACCTGTTCATTTCAGCTACCAACTGTTTAAAGATTTGTAAAAAAAACAAACAAAAAACCCCTAAAACAAAACAAAACAAAACAAAACAAAAAGCTGGTGTATGCCTCATGGTCTCTTATAAACACTTGTTCAGCTCCAAGCAATTAATTCAGTAGTACCACCTATACCTTGGTATACTGAATGACCAGTATCAGGGCTTGATCTTTTACTTTTCACTCAGTCATAAAGATCTGTTGGAATCATTTATAAAAGGAAACCAGAATCGTACTTCTGAATTAGTAGTGCCAGAATTAGTAGACAGAATTACTTAGTTTAGAACAGCAGAAGAAATTTCAGGAGATAGGACATTGGTCTAGACCATGGGAAATCTGTGTTCATGTAGCATTATCTGTGTATGCATTGATTTCCTGGAATCAAGCATGGGAATAGTATTTACTCAGCTTTATAAAACATTTTGAGATCTTTAGCTGAAACATGCTGAAGTGCAAGATGCTATTACAATTTTATTCTACTTGGACATAACCTGTATCACTGGTATTTTATTTATTAAAAAAGAATCTTAAATTGCTGTATGATCTTTTTTTCCCCCTCCATTGTTGGTCTTCAAATAATTCTACAATGAGGCTAAAATTACCTTCTTCTTTTCCCATAGGTTACTTTAGGTGGAACCTTTATCGGCATTGGACGCAAAACTCCCGATTGCCAAGGCAACACCAAGTACTTCCGCTGCAAATTCTGCAATTTCACTTACATGGGCAATTCGTCCACTGAACTAGAGCAACACTTCTTACAGACCCATCCAAACAAAATGAAAGCAGCCCTCCCCTCCTCTGAATCTGGCAAACCTTCAGAGAAAAACTCTAATAAATCCAGTCCTACTCTTCGATCATGTGATTCTGGAGACTTGGGGAAGTGGCAGGACAAAATCACTGTAAAAGCAGGAGATGACACCCCAGTTGGCTACTCAGTTCCCATCAAGCCAATAGATTCCTCTAGACAAAATGGTACAGATGCAACCAGTTACTACTGGTGTAAATTTTGCAGTTTCAGCTGTGAATCATCCAGCTCGCTCAAGCTCTTAGAACACAACAACAAACAGCATGGGGGAAGCCAGGCAGGAAACCCGCATCCAGATCTGAATGATAAGCTTTCTAGGGGATCTGTCATTAACCAGAATGACTTAGCCAAAAATGTAGATGGAGAGCTAGTTACAAAAACAGAAAAGGGCACCAGTATGACAAAAAAGAAAGAGTTTTCTAGTAAAGGAGCAGAGGACAACATGGTGACAAGCTACAACTGTCAGTTCTGTGATTTTAGGTACTCCAAGAGCCATGGCCCAGATGTAATAGTGGTGGGCCCACTTCTCTGTCATTATCAGCAGCTACACAACATTCACAAATGTACCATTAAGCACTGTCAGTTCTGTCCCCGGGGCCTCTGCAGCCCAGAAAAGCACCTTGGAGAAATTACTTATCCGTTTGCCTGCAGAAAAAGTAATTGTTCCCACTGTGCTCTCTTGCTCTTGCATCTGTCTCCTGGGGTGACAGGAAACTCTAGAGTCAAACACCAGTGCCATCAATGTTCCTTCTCCACCCCTGATGTAGACATTCTCCTGCTTCATTATGAGAATGCACATGAAGCCCAGACATCTGATGTCAAACAAGAAGCAAATACCCTACAGGGAATGGATGGGCCAGTGACTCTCAAAGAGAACAAAGAACACTCATGTACCAAATGTGACTTTATTACCCAGGTGGAAGAGGAGATTTCCCGACACTACAGGTACAGATAAAGTTTAAAATTACAAGTAGCTAAAAAAACAAACAAACTACCAACCTCTCCCCCAGATATTTAATCAAGTGTCATGACTCCTAATCATGTTGGAGAAGCTGAAAATTAGAAAAGTATGGGAATGTATGTAGGTGTATAATTGTATCAGTAGAGTTATCTCCAAAACGCTTTGCACTGGTGCAACTTCAGTTAAGTCAATGCAGTCATTACAGATTTAAACAAGTGCAGCTTAGAATAAAGTTTGATATATATATATTTTTTGTATAGGTATTGTGATTCCAACATTGAGGCTTGGTTAGCTACTTTCCATCTGAAATGCTTCTGGGTACTTTAATTTGCTGTTTCTGTTAAAGAGCTGGGCTGGCATCTTCATTCGTAAAGGGAACCCAAATGGGTTTCCTTCCCAAAATGGATTAGGGATGTACCTCTTTTGCTTTGTTATAGTGCTGCAGTGTAATATGCTTATTAATAACCCTGTTGTTGTATTTTCCATGCTTAATTCCAGCAGTGCAGTAATTAAATTTGAGCATTTCACTGTTGTTTTGTGTTCCTTTCAAACTAAGAGCAAACACTGTTTTTGTCCATTGATGTCATCCCACAGTCCTTTTGCAGATGATTTGTGTCACTGGTTAAAAGCATCAGTTTATTTAATACTAATGTTTCTATCTGAAGGTGGACTAAGCCAGCCCCCTGACTTGCTTATGACACAATATCATCAGGGCAGCCAACTCCCTGTTAAACTGTTGTGGTCAAATCTTCAGCTCTGGCTTCAGTGAAGCTATACACCATTTTAGATCATCTAAAGATTTGTTCCGTTAATTTTAAAAGTACAGGAGTTATGCACTGTTGCAAAACAGAACAAAAAGCCCTCTTTTTAATTATTAAGAAAAAAATGTTAAATATGTTAAATTTTTAAGAATAATGAGTCAATATGGCAACAGAAAGCCCAACTTGCATCTCTTCCAAAAAGATCTTTGCATGGAAGCCAAAAATGTGTGAAGGTAAAAGTCAAATATCTGTTAAATGCTTGAGAATCTTTGATGTGTTTAATAGCTTCCATGAAGTCCAAGAAGTACCAAAAACAGATTAGTGTGCGATTCTTTAATAGAAATGAAAATGAGAGGCATCCAAGTGTTGCCCAACAGAGGGCTACGTTGGCAGCATGTCAGGAGACCATAAAAGTGGAACAGATTGCTCATCTTTTAATTTGGAGTGGCGGCCTACAGAGGATACAGGTTCCAGCATGCTGTGCCCCATTTTTGAGCCATGTTGGCTGCAGGGATGTTGTGAGGATTAATTAGTCAATGTTCATAAACTTCTTTGAAGATGAAAAGTGGTACCTAAGTACTAAATATTATTATTGGGGTAGCTTTCGGCCACATTGTAGAACTCCATAGACAGCACTTTGTCTCCCACTGGGGCATATCTTGATCTTTTTTTAGCTGTTAAAAAGCTGGTATGTTGAAATGGCTCCTTTGCTGAAAACACTTTCATTTGGCTGCAGCTGGTAATTTGAAATTTTAACAAGGATGTTTAATTAAAATACTCCTTCCTGGAAAAAAATGAGAGAGAAGGGGTGTGGTAGAAAAGCAGTTAAGTGTCTTGCTGTGGCTCCAGGGGCATGAGTTTGAGCCTCGTTCCAGACTTGTACCAAGAGCTGCCCCCAGGAGACCAAGCTGTAAATGGGTACTTCGTTATTCAAACTTGGGAGTCAAAGTGATCTGATGTGCCAATAGCCACATCACTCCCTTGTGTGCCATTGGCTGCACCTGCTTGTGTGACTTTACCTTACTAATTCTGCAGGCCACTGGGTTCAGGAAGACCTTTGAACTTGAGAAAGAGAGAGGACCACTATCTTCCAAGCAGAGTATCTTAGCTACTGAACAAGTTGCTTAAGTTTAATGTGACTGATGTCTAGGGTCACCTATACATGTGACAGCTGTCTGCTCCAATGCATGCAAATTACTATGTGTTGGAGCACACTTGATTCATTGAGTTTGCTAGAGCGTGCTAATTAGCATGTTCCAGCAGCCTCCACATCATGTGTATTCAGTGTGCCTGTGTTTCAGGATGGCGGTGGGGGCGCTTTAACAAAACTTTTTTGACGAGCTTTAGTTAAACTGCCCCTGCTGTCATTGAAGCACGGGATGCTGAATACAAGTGATGTGGTGGGTGCTTTAATTACAGTGGCTCTCAGAGCTGCTTTAGTTTAAAATGCCTCCCCCTCCACTCTGGGGCATGTGTATAGATGCTTTAGATGTCTAGTTGACTGGGGTGCCAAAATTAGTCTCCTTTTTGGAAAAGTTTATAGAGAATTTTTAAAACCTTTTGGTACATATATATTCTGCAGATGTTATATAATTTAAAAAGACATAAAAGCCTTGTAACTCCCTGAACCTCTTCCACATACATCCTCCCTGATTTTTTTTTTTTACATGGTCCTCTTTTAAATGTGTACTGGTGTTATTTTTCCCCTTCCTATGAAGTCATACTTCTTCAGTTTAACTCTGATGGAAAAATTATTATTGTTGTATATAGAAAATTCTACTAAATTAATCAAAAACTGCTTTTCCATATACATTAATATTATTTTATATCTTTTGATCTATCAGGCTAAAAGCAAATGGAAATATTTACCTTTATAATGGTATATTGCTTACATTTCTATCTTCAGTAATTCAATTCTGGGAAGTTTAAGTTTATCAGTCATGTATATTTGCTTTCTACAGCTGAGTGTCATACAATTGGATCCATCTCTATGAAGGAAAGGGTACAAAAATAGCTCTAATAATAAAAAGTGTTCTGTAACTTCTGTAAAATAATAGGATCTGTGAATTATGTAGCATATATAAGAAAGCATGATGGCATGATAACAAAGGCTTATCAGCATTCATCTTGGCTGACCTTCTTTGTGGCTTCATTAAATGTATCCGTCTAAAGCCTTTATGCCACAACATCATGCATTACCCTACAGGTTGTGTATATACAGATATGAAAGAGTTTACTTTTAGTTCCGCCACTGCAAGGAGAAAATGCAACAAAAATGCCTGTTGCCAATTTATATATGAAGGAGCTGAACAGAGTCCAACTATAAACATGTAATTAGGCATTGTATAGGCAGAAATGGTGTTTTGCAGACTCCATATTTAATTTACCCTTGTTGTAAGCTGAATGCTATAGGCCTGCTTCAGTCATGCCCACATGGTTGAGCCTTTGTTTACTTTGTGTGAATATCTTTTTAACTTCAGCCTTAGCCACACAAACAGGCTATCCAGTTATTCCTCCGCATCAGTCTGGCTGTATAGCTGTGATTTCATTTTTGTCTGTTTGCCTAAAATATTATCCCTGTATTGTTGTTCTTCAGTCTTATCCATCTGCAGTACAGGCCTGCCTCTGCTGCCCTTTGTTACTAACAACATTTGAATTTGCAAGAGCCGTTACTTTTCAAGAGGTTTGCCTATAAAAATATGTATTTGAGATTAATCCCCACTCAATTTTTCCTTGACATGATGTGAAGGCTGTTTAGTTAAATATAAGTTAATGAATCCATTGCATTTCAGTTTCTGTGTGTTCAGATGTGCCTATAATGTGCTTTCACAAACAAATCCCCAAAAGGCTCAGTGTCCTACATTTCCTAGTTAAGTTAACTGCTGATTATTCTCCGTTGTCCTCCTGAAGAGTCAGTAGGTTTCTTTCACTTTCATTCAGAACGTAAGAACAAGAGTGTATTTCAGATGAGTTCAGTGATATTTATATTTGTAATATTAGTCAGATTAGAAAAAATATTTAAGATTCTAGGGAACTTTGGTTAAGAGCTGATATGCTGCTGAAATTATTTTCCTCACAAAAGAAAAAAAATGAAAACTAATTTTTTTGGTTTTGTTTTCACACATATTTTATAAGTATATCTTAAAAACTCCAAAACCTGAACAATACATTTATTTTATTTTGGCAGCTGAATTTTTTTTACAGAGTTCCTTGCCGGAAAACTGAAAAGTTTTCTGTTTCTTGTTGAAACTAGACTCCCCCCACCATGAGCATTTCCATGTAATTGAAAAGTCATTTGCCATCAAGAACTGTTTTGACACAAAATATTTGATCAGTCTTTCTAGGATTGTTAACTAACAGCAGCAATAATATGCTGAAAAATGGGACAATCCTCTTTAGAAAAACTGTCGGATAAATCTTTACATCATAAACAACAACCACAGAAAGAAAAGACTTGGGGGGAAGGGCATCACTTCTTGCTCCAAAAGAGACAAAACTTTTTTTGCATTGGAAGCAGAATCATATTTTCCAATGAACAGAAATGTTCTGTTGATAATGTAAAAATTAACAACTTTTATACCATTGCCATTCAAAACATTAAAACATTTTTACAAGCAACAAAGAAGTGCCTGATTTTCAAAAAAGTATGCATCTAGTTTGGCGGGGGGGAGAGTGTAAAACTGCTAGATGCATGCTTGCAGTTACCACAGTTGCAACAGTAAGTTGTTTTTTTACATGTGCAGTTCACCATCAAGAGTTATAATTAGTCTTTTTGCTAGAAATGGAGTTGTGGGGGGGAACAGCTTGTTTTTTGTATGCAGTTGTGGCAATTGTGGAGACAAATGAAGTACACAGCATGTCTACACAGGACACTAACTGCATAGTAGCTTAATAATACTGTTTAGTACGGCATCACAGCATAAACAGTGCTAATATGCTACTGTGCAGTATTACTAGGCTTCTGCGCAGTTAGTGTCACTAAAAAGGCATGTGCCAGTGCTAATGCCCAGTAATGCCTGTTACTGTGCATTAGTTTAGTACTTGGTTATACAAGTACTAAATTTAATATGCAGTAACTATGGTGCATTAATGATTGTGTAGATGTGTCCACTTACACATGCAGCTGGGCATTTGACTTTAAATGTTATGACTAAAGTAAATAGGAAGATTCACTTTGTTGAAATGCAGCTGCCCTTGAGGTCAGATTGACAAACTATCCAGCCGTGCACTTAACACTACCCAGCACGATGGAAGAGGAAATGAAGAATACTATATAAAATAAAATGAAGATTACTATATACCATGGCTAGCTGCTGCTGTGAGTACAGGCACTTTTAGGCCCTCATATCTCTTGAATCTAGAGAGGTGTATTTGGGACAGTGGGCTGGCTACCACTACTCCTTTCACGTGGGGGCAGAGCAACCACAGACAGCAGGAGGACAAAGACATGTACAGATGCTAGAAATTCCACTCCCTTGGGACTTAGCTCTAAAGTAACCAGCATTTGCTGCAGCTAAGGGTGAGAAAATAAAATGAGGCCTCCCAGAACCCTTTCTTCTCCATGTGACGAGCCCGAAACAAACTGATATCTTACCTGCCTGTTATTTAGGGATTAGTAGCAATAGACGGAAGAGTTCTTTCAATTGCCATGTGCCTTAATCCACTCAACTCCTGAAATCTAGGGTCTCCATATCTGTTTTTTTTTCTTATTCACTTTGTTGTCAGTGGTTGCTGTTTCCACATTAGTCCACTACTCTTCCACTTTCAGCCTCATTCTCTGATTTGCTTATCTTCCTTCTCTGTTCTGTATCTCTCCCCTTAATTGTCCTTCTTCCTGTACCTACTGTTTTCTCTTACTCTAATGGTGTCTTCCTTTACTCCCTTCAGGTCCTTTATCCTATCCCAGAAAATAAACCATATCCTAAACTGAAGATAAATTAAGCAAATAATTTGTATACTTGTCACTTTGTTTTTAACAAAACCTATGACCTGCAGCTGCCCTCATCCAGGACACTTTTCCTGTGTGTTGCACCTTTTCCCCAAATTTTCATCTGCAACGATTTTGGTAGAGAGGTCCTCAGGACAGCATCTTATGTCAACCTCTGTGTTGGTACAGTACCTAATGCAAGCAGCCACTCTAATACCAAGAAAGAATGAGAAGAATCTGTTTGGTAGGCTGAATGTAACTATTCAGCAAGAGTTTTTACTAGAACCAGTGGACCCTTATTCTACATATTTTAGTATTCCCAAATGACCAGAACCTTAGCTTTACATTGCAATAAAATAGTATGATAATGCCTATTTATCATGCTGAATTTAAAGCTTGAATTATCAAGCTACTAGTCAACCCAGTAGAAAAACTCCCATTGACCAGAGCAGTGCTTGAGGAAGACCCTAGAGGGAAAAATACTGCATGCTTTTACATCTACACTCCTTTTTTACATCTAGCTCTTCTTTGGTGATCTTTCATGATTTGATCAACACATGTCCTAGTATGCTGTGTTTTATGAGCTAAAATTACAGCTTCAGATGATACAACAGCCACCTAGGTGGTTATAGCAACATATTGCATACTAAACATGTTTAATATAATGTGCTAAGTGACTTGTTTTTAAGATTTGTTTTGTTCAGTCTTTTAGGATTCACTGCACAAGCCTTCATAGAGGCCTAGCCTTTTAGGAACAAGGGGTAGATTTCAAATTGCTAATTTTTGAAAAAATTCTTAGATCCCTGTTAGCATGAAAAATCTGACACAATTCATGTCTTTAGGGTTTTTTTTGCATTTGATGAATTTGTATTCTGATTAAAATATTGCAGGCATATGATTTTTATTTTTTTTTCTTGTCCAAATTAGGTTGGGGAATGTCAGCAATTTAATTTCAGATCTGTGGCCTATGTTGATAATTCCAAGTCCTTTTCTACCCGATGTGCTATTGACTAATATCAGTAAGACTGGCCAGTCTTTGGTCCAAGTGTTATATAGCTGAGGTATCCAGTTTCATAGATTGGCATCAGAGATTTATTTATTTTTAAATGTGAAATCGAACAATGATAGGTCCTTTCAGGCCATATCTCATTCTTGTACTTGTCTGAATCAGCAGTAATCTCTTCTGATAGCCAAGCTTTCTTATAAAAATTACACTGGAAAATTAAGGAATCTATGTAATTTTTGGTGGATAAGCAAAATCCTATCCAAAAGAATTAGCTGAAGTAATAAAAGTAGGTCTACTGGGTTACGACATACGGTTAAAATTTCTGGCTGGCTGCCTCTGCATTGTACATTTATTCATATGTTCGTAATGGTCAGGTATATCATTCTTGATTTAAAAAAAAAAAAAAAGAACTTAGTGAACACATGAAGACCCATGTTAGTCAGAAAAAGATCAGCTGTCTGAAGGTGCTATGTCTAGAGAAAGGAGCCAAATTAGAAAAGGGGGTGAGCTATTTAGAATGGCCAAATTAAATAACAGATACTCAATGCTAAGTAGCCTCCCAAAGGCATGATGTACTTTCACAGAAGGAGTTCGTTGGGGTTGGGCTGTTAGCCCCTAATAGCATCTTGTTTAACTTGGCTTTTTCAATAACTAACCCCTGTCTAACTTGGCCTTCTCCAAAGATATCACAACTTTCTATGGCTGACCTTTTTTATAACTTGTTTTTCTTTTTGTATTTGTTAGATAGTTTTGATCAGATCGTATTCTCTCTTTTTTGGTTCAGAGGAAAATTAAGCTTGGTTCAAAAAAGAAATGAGTTATAAGAGAATGTATATTTGCATCACACAGTGCAGATTTTAAAGAAGAGCTATTTTAGAATGGAAAAATAACAGAAACAGATTTTAACCCACTGTTTTCTGTCCTACCAACAGACTCCTTTTCAACATAGCTAAATGGCTAAATGGTTGATAATTTATTGGGGGGGGTGGTTGAAGGAGCCCATTTAGTCCTTTCAGATGTTCTAAAACACTGAAAATGACAAAGAGAAAAATGATATTACATAAGAGTTGGAGATCTTGGTACTCGAACACACTCGTGTCTGTATGCCGGCACAACTGTATGACAATCAGACAATGTAAATAACATACAGATTGTTTTTTCAAGAAAAGGAAAGAGACAAGATTTTTCTTTTCAGTTTGGCAATTTAGCTTTTCTGAAGTATCATACTTAAATAAAGGGACATTGTGTCTACCGTTCCAGCTCTGCAGATGCGCTAAAAGCCAAATCATGCTCTTATTGAAGTCAATGGGAGTTTTGCCATTGACTTCACTGCGACCACATTTTGGCCTCAAAAGACTTAATTTCCAACAACTAGAGTTGTCATGCCAATAACAGATTTCCCATACAAGTTTCGTCCTGTGTGGATAGTCAAGGTCTCAGTTTTTGAACTTGGCTAGAGTCACTACTGTGAGTCTATATGCATAGGGTGTGGATGTGTGAATGTATCTGTAGGGAGAAGGATTTACAGATTTATATGCATTTTGATTAAGGGCAGTGACTGTCTTTTACTTTGTGTTGGTACCTTGCATAGCACCGTGCAGCCGCAAGCCTGACTGTAGCCTCTAGACACCTTCTATAATATGAATACTTACTAATAATAAAGTTGCATAGCACATGAAATAGCATTCTATTCCTATGGTATGTATAGTAAATGGGTAGCATATTGTTCTAATGGAGTAACATATGCTTTATATAAATTGATAATATAGTACTTTGCATAGAATTTTAGAATGAAAACAGGAGGGTGTATTGTTCCACTGTATTCTTCATCTTGTAGTGCGCTGTATCAGAGTTTACATGTTAGATGGCTTCTCTGCCTCTCTATTTGAAAACTTTTCATTCTCCACCAGAGTGGTTCTGTATTTGATAATAGAAAGCAAGATATAACTACCCAGTGAACTTTTTTCTTTTTCCTAAATGGTCTCATTTCAAAATGGTATCAAGAATTTCCATAAAGAACTCATAAGAATAGTCTCTCATTTAAAGAAATCTTATCTTTTGACATATCTTTAGTTGTAAGTTAACCAGACCTCTAGTCCAACTCCTCTTTATGGTTAAATTAATATAAAATTGACAATAGGCAAAGGATTTCTTTAAAACAATTAAGCAGGAACTTTTTAAATATAGTGTCACACTATACAAAAAGGCTTTTAATTAGGTGACACTGAGAAATATGTCCTCTCAAATGTTTTTTTTTTTTTTGTTGGACAATAACTAACCTTAGTGTCTGTATCATAGAATCTGTATCAATGGTATGTATAGGAAGTGAAGAGTATACTTATTCAAATTGAAAAGAAAAGTCATTTGAAATCTCCAGTGAAATTTGGGTAGAGTTCAGAACAATGGGGTTGTGTCCAAATGTACTTAAGTGGGTCAGAAATAATAGAGTTAACAAACCAGTTGTTCTGATATTTCACAACTGGTTTAATTATTATGTTATCCCTGATACAACATAAATAAACCCACATTCTTTATTTAGAATTGAACAAACCAGATAATTTCATTTCTGGTTTGGGAAGTGTTTTGTTTCATTCTTATTATCATGCATTTGCGAGAATTCACAGGATAGGGGAAGTTGAAGGGATTCTAATTTTAAATTGCTCTTTATTTTCTTTCAGGAGAGTGCATAACTGTTACAAATGCCGTCAGTGCAGCTTCACAGGTGTTGACACTCAGTCACTACTAGAGCACTTCAACACTGTGCATTGTCAGGAGACGGACATCACTACAGCCAATGGGGAGGACAGTCATGGCATTTTGGCTATCAAGGAAGAGCCAAAAATTGACCTAAAGGTCTACAGTCTGATCAATCCAGACCCCAAGATGGGGGAGCCCATTTCTGACAGTATAGTGAAGAGGGAAAAGCTAGAAGATAAGGAAGTGCTTAAGGAAAAAGGTTGGACTGACAGCTCCAATGATGATCTTCGCAGTGTGACTTGGAGAGGAACAGATATTTTGAGAGGTAGCCCATCATATACACAAGCAAGCTTAGGCCTACTGACTCCAGTGTCCATTGGCCAAGAGCAGCCAAAGCCTTTAAGGAATAGTCCAAACGTAGAAGCTGCCCACATTGCGCGGCCCATGTATGGCTTGGCTGTTGAGCCCAAGGGATTCCTGCAGGGGGTGCCAGCAGGAGGTGGAGAGAAATCTGGACCACTCACTCAGCAGTATCCTGGATCAGGTGATAACAAGGCAAAGGATGAATCCCAGTCCTTGTTAAGGGTAAGGTTTTCTTTTTTTATCCTGACTGCATGTATATTGTGTTTACTTTATAACGTGTATGCAGTTCATTTCTCCAATTTTTGAATGGTTGGCCAAGGTGAAGCGGAAAATTATGAAGACACATCAAAGAGTGAAATTTGTAGAGCTAAAATGTCAGGTAAATGTTTCCAAGTGTTTATATAAAGAAACAAAGTAGATGTAGTATTAGTAAACAATTGTTTTCACCTTTGCTATTAGATCTGATTAAATTTTGATTGATCATTCCTGCTGATTATGCAAGATGATGATTGATATATTTGGAAAAGGATGGTTTAGAATCTTAGAAGGTTGCATATCTGTTCTATTAACACAACTAATCATCAGTTACATTGCGAGGTGGTATGACTGTTCATATATAAGTAAGATTTTACAGTATTAAATGGCTAAGAATGTGAAAAGCAAGTCAAATATGAATATTTCTTTGTTTAGAATTTTTTTTAGAAGAGCATAATTCCATACACATTTTGTCACTTTGGTTGCCTTGGAAGCATAATTAAAAAGGGAATTAAGGAGCTGTGAAAGAGAAATTATGCATCTTGCCGGATATTTCTACCCTGTCTCTCTCAAAAACAAAACTATAGTGTTTCTGTCTCTGAAATCTTGCACTAAATTGCATTTAATGGGCTTTTCCTGGCTCAGTCAAGGTATGCACTTTCCATTGGGAAGAAGTTTGAGGTTCAGAAAATTCACAGATTTTGAGAACAAGAGTGATTGGGGGGAAAATGTTGTCATTATGTTTAGGTTAACTCTGTTTTCACTAGCTGATGATTCCCATCTGATCTCTTAGAAAGTTGCTACAGTAGCTGACAGTCTGTATGCAATCTCAGCCAATAATGAAAATGGAAATGATGATTAGCTGCATTTCTAATTCTGTTTTAACGACATTTATCACCGCTGTATCCAAAATGCATCTGAGTGTACAATACGTCAGATGAGTACAAAGGGGTAGATGCACACTTTCATGGTCTACTCTGATTTTATGCTTAGATACTCATGTATTTATAAAAATCTTCTGAAATGTTCTTGAACTAATCAGCAGTGATAAAAACTTGATATTTGTTCTAATTACTAAAATCATAAGTTTATAAGTTAAATGCTTTATGCAACTAAATTCTTGTGTTTCACAAGCTGTGAATGATTGCTGGTGTCATCGTACTTGTTTGAATAGCTGTTATGGTATAGAATCATACAAAAGTAGGGCTGGATAGGACCTTCAGAGGACATCTGGTCCAACTCCCACTAGAGGATGATCATTCCCATCCAAACCATCCAACACAAATCCATTGTCTAACTATTAGTAAAACTACATAGTCAACCCTGACACAACTACAAGGGATAACGCCATAACCTGCCACAGGTAAGGCATGGGGACAACAGTGGCCAATGTCCTGCTGCTACAAGGAGTGTTAAAATGTTTGAGACACCCAAGGAAGGGGGCTATTCCTTCCACTACAGAAGAAAGCAACACTTTTCCCCCCTATCCGGTCATCCCCATCAGTTTGACTATGGGGTAAATTTCCTTCCTGACCCCAAATATAGTGATTGGTCTGACCCTGAACAGAGGGGAAGATCCTGTAGCCAGTAACCTTTGGCCATGTTCACATGACTATTGATATTTGGCTCCCTGGGGACAACTAGCAGCAGCACACCTTGTTTGGGATGATCCCGCTACTCAGAGTCTGTCTGGCAACCAGACTGTGGCTTCAGCCAGCCAGGCTCCAGTTTTGAGTGGCACGCACTGCCACCGTATGTGTTGCTCCACTCTTTGTTTTGCACAGATTTTTTTTTGTTTTTTTTTTTTTTTTTTTGCCCC